CAGGGTTCACCGTGTGGTTCAACAGGTGGTTCAGGGTTCACCAGCACAATTCTCTGTGCAATTTAAATTCCATCTTTTAATATAAAGCTCCTAAATTGTAGCTGCTGATGAAGTAAACTTATTTTCTTAAAACAAGTCCAACGGACCACCATGGAGAAGGACAACTGACCACCATGGAGAAGACCACCATGGAGAAGGACACACCATGGAGAAGGACAACTGACCACCATGGAGAAGGACAACTGACCACCATGGAGAAGGACAACTGGGACCTGGTTGAATAAGAAGTGCATGTTGGTGTAACGTATACTGTAACAATTAAATAACTTCAAATATTATCACTCACCACTGTTGTGACAGTGAACAAACAACAAGGAGTGAAAAATAATAAGAGGGTTAGGGTTAGGGTTAGGGTTACAGTCTACAGTCAGTCTACAGTGATGTTTTACATTCACATCACTACATGTGTGTATGTAGACATGTAGTTATCCTAGATGAGGACCTGGTCCTCTGAGGCTCCTCGCATGCCAGATGACTGGATGATGATGATGATGATGATGATGATGATGATGATGATGCTCAGTGGTGATGAAGAGTGTGGATCGCTGAGACTATGATGAAGTTCAGCACACACAGCTGCAGTACCACTTGACTCCACTGAGCTCTGTGCGTTTTTCCATGTCCAGTCCTGGGCCTCAGGTTAAAGGACTTTTCTGCCGGTTCTTCTCCTTCTTTGAGACACAGAGAAGTCCGACAGTCTGGACGACTGTTGTAGTGACGCTGAAGAGAGGAGGATAAAAAAGGCAGGAAGAGATCAGCACCGTTTGTAAATGAAAAACAAATGTTCTGAGGTTTGTGGAGGAGAAGTGACTGGTGCGGGGTCTCCGTCTGCTCAGCTTTGAGGAGGTGAAACAAAGACCGGCTCCATGCTGGGCGCAGATTAAAATAACTGTCAGAAGACGAGAGACGCTATTGAGGAAGACAGGCTGACGCACGGAGTGATGAAGACGAGCCTCTCACACTTCATGACAGAGTTCTCACTAAAGCTGGTTCAACTTTGGAGACCCTCACCCTCCCTCTCTCCCTCCCTCTCTCTCCCCCTCTCCCCCCCCCTCTCCCCCCCTCTCTCCCCCTCTCCCCCCCCCTCTCCCCCCCTCTCTCCCTCTCTCCCTCCCTCTCTCCCTCCCTCTCTCCCTCTCTCCCTCTCTCCCTCCCTCTCTCTCCCCCTCTCCCCCCCTCTCTCCCTCTCTCCCTCCCTCTCTCCCTCCCTCTCTCTCCCCCTCTCCCCCCCCCTCTCTCCCCCTCTCCCCCCCCCTCTCCCCCCCCCTCTCCCCCCCCCTCTCCCCCCCCCTCTCTCCCTCTCTCCCTCCCTCTCTCTCCCCCTCTCCCCCCCCCTCTCCCCCCCCCTCTCCCCCCCCCTCTCCCCCCCCCTCTCCCCCCCTCTCTCCCTCTCTCCCTCTCTCCCTCTCTCCCTCCCTCTCTCTCCCCCTCTCCCCCCCCCTCTCCCCCCCCCTCTCCCCCCCCCTCTCTCCCTCTCTCCCTCCCTCTCTCCCTCCCTCTCTCCCCCCCTCTCTCCCTCTCTCCCTCTCTCCCTCCCTCTCTCCCCCCCTCTCTCCCCCTCTCCCCCCCCCTCTCCCCCCCCCTCTCCCCCCCCCTCTCTCCCCCTCTCCCCCCCCCTCTCCCCCCCCCTCTCCCCCCCTCTCTCCCTCTCTCCCTCCCTCTCTCCCTCCCTCTCTCTCCCCCTCTCCCCCCCCCTCTCTCCCCCTCTCCCCCCCCCTCTCCCCCTCGCTCGTGTGTGTGGCTGTGTGTGTGTGTGTGTGTACAGCAGTAGGAGCCCAGACGTACCTTGACTACACGTGGGGCCCAGCCAGGTGAGTGGACATAGACATCGCCCAGTTACTCCGTCACAGTGACCCCCGTGGGAGCAGTGGCAGGGCAGGGAGCAGTCAGGACCGAACCGATCTCCAGCACAATCTGAACAAATACAGAGAAATCCACCAAGTCGGAACTCTGATGTTCATCAAATTCATTCTCTCCTGTTGATTCTCACCCTTTTCACATCTCTCCCCTGTCCTCCCGGGGGGGCACAAGCACCGCCCAGTCACTGGGTCACATGGGGCGTCACCAGCACAGTGACAGGACTCTGCACAGTTCAGTCCAAAGCTGCCAGCTTCACAACCTGCAGATCAGAAAACACACACACACACACACACACAGGTGGACAGAGAGTTGTTAGTTTTATCAGGACATGTAACAACCATGTAACAACCATGTAACAACCAGACAAAAACAACTAACACAAATATGGTCACAATTAACATTTGGGACGAGATGCAGAGGGAAAGTACCAGGACAGTAACAGGAACTCTTCAGTGCGGTAAGAAAAACGGAACATGAAACAGTCAGGAAACACCTGGAAACACCTCTCATCAAATCACCACTTTCTCAGTCAGTCTGTCTGTGTGTGTGTGTGTGACAAGAAGATTTGACCACACATCTGGATCGGTGTCAGACACACTCACGTTGTTGGCAGTGCGAGCCGTCGTAGCCTGGTGGACATTCACACTGTCCAGTTACTGGGTCACATGTTCGGCCCACTCTGCACTCACAGGTTTGGCCACAATACTTTCCAAAAAATCCTGAAGTGCATTCTGGGAAGAGAAATCAACACTGAAGGCTGTGTGTGTGTGTGTGTGTGTTGTATATAGTTTTGTTGACATACTGTGTTGGCAGGAGTTGCCGTAGTATCCAGCTGTACACGAGCAAGTTCCAGTAAAACGGTCACAGGTACCATTGTTGTGACAGGGACAGTCATGAGAGCAGTCCAGACCATAGTGTCCCTGTGGACAAGCTAGGACCACAGAGGGGGAGGGAGGGAGGGAGGGTTAAGAACAGACTACACCAGTCGTGTAGTCGTGTGGTGTCACATCCGACCCACAGTGTAAATATATACCACAATATAGACCATATATATATATATATGTATATATATATATATATATATATAGAGAGAGAGAGAGAGAGAGAATATATGGGTGTGTGTGTGTGATATAAATATTGTTGTTGTTTGGATTCAACATGTCTCCTCCTGTACCTGTGTCACAGTGCGGTCCAGTCCAGCCCGGTCCACACCTACAGGATCCATCAACTGGGTCACACAGTCCTCCATTCTGACAGCTGCACAGGTTATGGCACTGAAGCCCATAGCGCCCTCTAGGACATGCTGAGGACACAGACACATATAGACTACAGTGGAATCTTGTTTATTTAAGTTTAACAGTTCCTTCAACTGTGATGTCACTGTGATGTCATCAGGTTGTTTGACTAACTTTAGAATGGAACCATAATAATGATTTTCTTCGTTTATTTACACATCCCTGTGAGCTGTTTGTTCACCCATGGACACCAGAGAGGAGAACATTTAGAAAAATGGAAAACCCCGCGTGTTATCCAGTTGATTAAGGAATAGATTACAGAAGCAGAAAACCCCCACAATGCATCTGTTTTCCTGGTTAATGAGGCAGTGCGATCATCAAAGGAGAGTTTGTTACTTCATACACAACGGAACTGTTGAAAGGTGCATCAGCCCCGTCGGTGTGGTCGCTTCTCACTCTCACTGGTTTGACTGAAGCGTGTCAGAGCAGCAGGTTGGAGGTTGAGGAAGTTCAGCAGATGTTTGTGCTTCAGTGACTGTGAAGACCGTGGACTAATGATCACAGTCTCATAAACAACCAAGGTGGTTCCATAAATGTGAGATGAGTTTCCCCCTGAGGGGCGCCAAAGCACTAGAGGGGACTCAAGATTCAAAAAGAGTAAAAAAGTTTCAAAAAAAAGGGAAAAACATTATTTCTATTTGTATCTGAAGCCAATTCCTCTGGGAATTGAACCCAGGCCTGTCTGCTCTCTGCTTCAGAGGCAGGTGTGCTAACCACTACACTATGGAACCACGTAGATAGTCTCAACTTGACTGTTTGGTTATTTCAACATTTGCCATGTTGTCACGGCGACGTCAGTCTGTCTCCCTCTCTAGGTTAATCAGCATTATCACACTCACCTGGTCCTGGGATCACCTGTTCATTAGTCTCACTCGTGTCACCTGGTGCCCAGGGTATATATACCTCCCTCTCTCCCTCAGTCTTCATCTAGTCTTGGTTCCTCTCAGCTCCTGTTATCTAATGACTGTTTGTTGAATTTTGTTTGGACTAAATTTTCTGCACCTGGTTCTGGTCTCACTTGGTCTTGAGTGCTGCACTTGGGTCCGACCGTCTTCCTGACGTGACAAGTCGTAACAGTCATTTTGTTTGTTTGTGATGTGGATGAACCACGGCCACTGAAGACTGAACGCTTACAACTGCAAATATGAACAGCAGATGGATCTTTTTTTCATCCTAGAACTTTTTGATCGGACCTTGCGCGTGTGTGTATGTGTTTAAAACTGACAAAAGAGACATGCAACTGAGTAGGAAAAGTCTGATTCCAACCTTGCTGACAATACTGCCCCATTCTACCAGGACTGCAGTTGCACCTCCCAGTAACCGGGTTGCACTGCCCTCCGTCGCTACAAGAGCTCAGCTTCGCACAGTCCTTCCCGTAGAAACCACTAGGACAACCTTGAAGAACAAACATGTCTTACCAACAATCCACAAAAACAGGGGAAAAAAACAACAAACCACGGGACTTTTATTGATTTACTTTGGCTGCAGTTAGCGCCGACGTAGCCAGGAGGACAGAAACAAGTTCCAGTCCTGAAGTCGCAGCGAGCAGAGTTGGTACAGCTGCACCTGAACCTACAGTTCGGCCCAAAGCTCCCTGCACGACATCCTGGACACAAAAAGTAACAGAAAGGTTTTTTGTTTTTTATCTGATTTTGTTTTTGTGCAGTAAAAAGTACTGTTCAGTACCAATGTCCTGGTACTTCCACATCAGAAGACCGGTAACTTACGTAAGTCACAGCGTGACCCGTAGTAACCTGGTAGGCAGCTGCACTTCCCCGTCACAGGGTGGCACTGTTCCTGGTCCCCTGAACACTGGCACAGTTGGCTGCACATGAGTCCAAACGTCCCAGCAGGACAGTCTAGGACACGGAGAAACATTATTGTTACACCACAGCCATTAAAATGAACTCAACATGTCAAACTCAAGGCCCGTGGGCCGAATGTGGTCGGCCACATCATTTTAAACGGCCCCACAGAGTTTAACCTGATAATGTTTGTCCTAAAGTGTCAAAATGGTGGTCAGGGCGGATCTTTACATTTGTTTACCAACAACTGACAGTTCAATAAACGTTAACCCTGGCGGCCCACAACTCACACTGCGTTTTACGGTTCAGCCCCTCATGTGGCCAACCCAGATACTACAGGGAACAAATGTGGTTGGAATGACCCGAGTCTTAAGATGGTCCGGTCCAACAGTCCAAACCTAATGGACCGCCTTTCCTCATCCAGGGACAGGAAACTTGTCCGTGTTTCCAGCTTTCCCACGTGGACATGCTTTCACGCACACTCAATAATACACAATAATGAATGGAGTCAACAGACAATCAATCACAGCGAACAAGACGAATCTGTGAGCTGTGAACATGTTTTGGGCTGAGACCGCAGCAGCAGGCAGCGTGGGGGACAGATAAGAAAGGACTTCCAGACTAAAGAGCCAATTACGCTGCTGTCATTATGATCGTCTGCTCTTATCCGCCGCTGAGGAGACAAAAACAATGCCTTCTGTTTTACTTGGCAGCCAGTGTGTAACATTTATCAGATGTCTGGGGAGTGTGAGCAAGGAGAGGAAGGGAGCGAGAGCGGCGAGGGTGGGGGCGGGGGGTTACAAAGCTGCTGGTTTACAGTCTAAAGGGTTCGGTTTAAATAATGAAACATTAGCATAAAGTCCTGCGACAGAGAAGCTTTAGTGCTGGTGCAGAAAAGACTTCCTGGAATGTAATAAATGTTCATCTTCCCCAGGAGGAAAGAGACGACAAAGAGAAGATTTAATTAGTGCTAACAGAAGGATCCTCACAGATCACACACACTCAATCCCATGATGCTCTCTGTCTTCCAGATGGAAGTGGTGTATTGTGGTGTGTGAGTGTTTTAATGAAGGGGCACAAGTGTCAGCCAAACTGTTTTGAGGGAATGACAATGACGTTGTTCCGTTGCCAAGAAATTCTGGAGAAACTAAAGGTAATGTTAATGAGAAATATTAAAATTAACAGAAAAGTTTCTGTGGATGAATCACGATTAATCATTTTAATGGTAATCAATCACAACTAATGGTGATTAGGAATGATAAATCAACAGTCCTAAATATGAAAAACAAATGTTTTCCAGGTGAATGGAATTATGAATGTGAGTCAAACCTATTTACTGCCCTGCCATCAGTGAGGCTGGTCGCAGGTGAACGGACAGTCTTTCAGACATGACATTATTATTGGAGCAACCATAAGTAGATGCTAATGGAGTTAGCATACAGTTAGCTAGATGTTTACCCCTCCCTCCCACCCCTCCGACCCACCTTTCTCACAGCCTGGTCCTGTGAGTCCGGGGGGGCAGCCACAAGTGCCCGTCTCATGGTGACAGGACACCCCCCTCAAACACTCACACCTCTGGGCACAGGAAGCTCCGTAGGATCCAGGGAGACAGGCTGAGGAGAAGACATGGCTTTTCACCTTCCTCGAACTCTGAACATTCTCTCACAGGTTCATGGCCTCTACAAACACACTCACGTTGGTCACACCTGGCTCCTCTCCAGCCTGGCTTACACTCACACTGGCCAATCACATGATGGCAGCCAAAGCTATGGACACAGTCACACCTGTGGTCACAGGCCTCTCCGAAAAGTCCCTCAGAACAGGCTTCAAAAAAAGAATCAAAATATATTTAATAAATCCCAGGCAGTAACTGACCCCTGTGCCCCCTCCCCTTCTTCTCGATGTCTTCAGGAGTTGTTGAAGAAAGAGCAGAAAAGTCACCTGAGCTGCACAGTGTTCCCGTCCAGCCGGGTGGACACACACATGTTCCTGTCACCTTGTCACATTTCCCTCCATTCACACACCCACAGGCTTGGCTGCAGTTCACTCTGTGACGTCCCTCCTCACACTCTAAAAGAGAGCGCATCCATCAGGTGGTTGTTTAACTAGGTACGCCAGTGATGGATGCTAGTTTAATTACCGATGTTATTTAGTAGTTAGCATGCTAACGAAAAAGACGAAGAAGAAAGTTGTCACTTTTGTTGAGTCTTCACTGTTTTCATTTCATAATCTGAAAAAACATGTTATAAGTAAAACACTTTCCAATCTCTGCTGCTTGGAAGCTGTCTGCAGAGTTCAAAACCCCAAGTCTCAGTCTGTGACAAAATATATTTCTACCAATATACAGTATATATATATATTCAAAAGCATAATTTTAAACATTCTGCCCAGTGAGTGCGACAGGAACCAGGTCACATGTCACTACATGATCCACAATTCAAACACAGATTGATGAAGATGAGCTCACCTTTCTCACAGGCGTCCCCAGTCCAGCCGGGGGGGCAGGTGCACCGTCCACTCACCCTGTCACAAGACCCACCGTTTTGACACAGACACTGACCAGAACAATGTTCTCCATAGTGTCCTGCAGGACAGGCTGACACGACAAAAGAAGTATGAACAGCTAATGTGGCTAATATGGCTAACAGAAAAATATACTGCAGAATTGGTTCAGATAGAGAATTCCTCTTTACTTGACTGTGTATTTTAGACAAAGAGACTTCAGTGCAGCATCGTGTCCTGTTTTACTGTAGAGTGAGACTCACACAACTGACACTTGGTGCCTGTCCACCCTGCTGCACAGCTGCACCGTCCAGTGATGTGGTCACACCTGGCTCCATTCTGACACTCACAGGTCTGACTGCACTGCTCTCCAAACTGGCCCTGTGGGCATTCTGCACACACACACACGCACACACACACACACACACAGTGAAAACATATAATTGGGGTATTAGAGTTTTCAGTCCACATATTGTAAACGTCCTGATGATCAAAGTGACGTTTGGAATCTCAGAAAGAAGAAAAGGCTCTAATGGCAGCGAGGCGTCATTAGCGCCGGCTGATAGCTTTCTGCTGACTCTGATTGGAGTAGTTAGGACCACAAAATGGCTGCGGCAAGAGAACAAGTCTTGACTGAGACGGAGTCACATCATTTCACTGTGTTCATAAAAACAAGAGCCTGAGAAGAGCCCCCCCCCCCCCCCCCCCGCGTCAAACACGCCGGTGCATTTATCCAGAATGGACCTACTTTAAAACACGTATGCCTGAGGGTACCCCCCCCTTCCTCCATCACAGTCTGATTACAGAGATAATTGTTCACTAACATCATCGTTGTGTTTTAGGATGGCATGTCGTGATGGGCTGCAGCCAGGGCCTCCCTCACACCCCATTTTAATGATGTGGCTTCCATTACCCAGAATGCAGTGTGGTCCTGCCCAGCCGGCGGTGCATAGGCAGGCTCCTGTGATGTGGTGGCAGCGGGCACCGTTCCTGCACTCGCACATCTGGCCGCAGTATAGACCGTAAAAGCCGTCCGGGCAAACTGTGGGCCGAGATAAAACATCCAACTGTTCAGAACTGGCAGCTTCACAGAAGAGGAGGAAAAGAGTGAGACGCCAAACTGTTTTTATTCTTTCTTTTCTCTGGCCTTCTCCATCCGTTACTCTCCTCTCCTCTCCTTCCCTCGATACGTTCCCTCTGTCTCTCTTTCTCTCTCACCACCTACTGAAAACACCAATATCAAATGGCAGCCCCACGCTGTGGCTGTTCATTTGCAGAGCGTCTGTGTTCGTTAAGTGAGTTCATGTCCCACATGTGTGGTGGATCTGGGCCACATCAAAGTCCGTGGCGGCTCCTAGGCCGTTCCCGTTTGGAGGTAGATGGGGCAGCGAGGGCGGGTAATTAGAACACCTGCTGGGCCCCCACCAATACACTGCAAAACAAATCCAGGTTACTGTGCCCCGACACACACAGTCTGTGTGTGTGAGTGTGTGTGAGTGTGTGTGTGTGTGTACCGATGTTAGCAGAGCCTGGGTTACAGCCTGTTTCCCATTGATAAACCAAGACAAGCAGATTTCAGGTTTAAAATGTGTGTGTGTGTGTGTGTG